GTGTGTGTGTGTATATGGTGTGTGTGTATGGTGTGTGAGTGTGTGTGTGTGGATGGTGTGTGAGTGTGTGTGTGTGGATGGTGTGTGTGTGCGTGTGTGTGTATGGTGTGTGAGTGGATGCTCCAGAACCCCACAACCCCGCCCAGGACAAGTGGCATAGATGGTTGGACAAGTGAACGAATGAATAAGCCATTAATGCTTTTGACCTATTTATTGAGGGAGAGACTCACTCTGATTGGGCAGTAAATAGTGAATGGGAGGACAAAACAAGGATTTTATTTGAGGTCTAGCACACTTTGAGGTCCAGCAAACTGGTGGGGATTGATCACAAGCCAACCTTTCAGGCTTAAACCAGAGGGATTCTGGCAGGGAGATACAGAGACATACGTAAACCTTTATATCAGTGCTTCTCATGTGTCTTGGCCCCACCCCTGAACATCCACACTGTCCCACTTCCTTTCGCTAAGTATATTAATGATTAGAGGTAATTTTCCATTGCATGTGAGCATGTGTGTGTGCCCTGCAATAGACTGGTGTGCCATCCAAGGTCTGCCCCACTCCGTCATCGATGCACAAGGACAGGCTTCAATCCCCCCTTGGCCTTGACCAGAATTAGAGGATGTTGGATGGATGGATGGATGGATGGTTATAAAAGAATGATAGAATCATCCCTCCAAAACATGTGACATTGTTAGATCAGTCAGACCACATTGTCATTAGGAATGTTTTCCATGTGTTTCAGAAAACCACAAGCGTTACGTGCAATTTGTCAATTGCGTTCAGGCAGAGGGCGGATTTTATTGCTTTTCTAGTAACTGTCTGTCTTTTCTTTGTCAGAGTAGGATCCAAGACTTCTAGCACAACAGCGCTCAAAGATTTATTCTGGAAGGCGTGAGCAGAGTTTAGCTTGCAGTCCAAACCATTTGGACGACTGTTCTTGTAGCCTGACAGTTGTATGTTGGAACAGAACCTGTGAACTCAACTGTGTCCTCAACTCTAATGTTCCTGTGCTCTACCAGTAATTCTCCACAAGCATTGGCCTTTGCCAAACTATTATATTCATGTTTTATTCTGACTTTATCCAGGCCTATGTTTACTGAATGTCTTTTTCAATGACTGCAAGCCATCGGCATAGTTACATATTACATGTGTTACCTAAATTGTACAAGAATCAAATCCCATACTAATATTGTGAAGGAATATCTTTTCTATTTCCCTTTCCCTATTTCCCTGAATGTTAAGGGAATTCTGGATGGTTCTTTGCCCTGGTGGGTTGCCTTGGAAGATTTTGTAGATTTTGAGGGGGGTTCTAATCTGTAGATTTAGTGCCTGGCTGTATGTATGATAGGTAGCAAACAAATCTCGGTGTGGGGGATGGGGATGTTCAAACACAATGTTACTATGTGGCTACGTGCCTGTTTCAAGGGGCTGCGACCGAGACCCAAACAGCACAGAGCAGCAGTCTTACTCTTAAGCAGGAATCCGGAAAATTCTAGGAATGCCGTTACCTGGCACACGATGGACTCCCAGAGAGCTTTTCCTGTTTGGCTGTCTTTGATTAGAAAGGAAAAAAAAAGTACACTCCCTTGCAAAAGGCTGATTCCATATTGTATTTTCTTAGTATATAAAAAATGTAAAAACAATTGATTGAAGAATTCTATGTAGCTTGAAGTAAATATAAAGTAAAAATGATTTTTTAAAATAATTTTGTTGTTTTTATTGTTTATAAATATTGCATTAAATATCAAACATTAATAATAATGGTCCCAATGTCATAACTATTAAACTGGACTCTTGCTGGCTTCTGTTTATAATATATTTAACTTTGGACAAAATCAGGGAGTCTATTAAAAATAAAGTGTATTTTAATATGAACATGGTTTAAAAATAATGACATAAGTTAGTGTAACAGCTATGATTCTGGGCAAAAAGTGAGAATAAATTAAATTGATCTAAGACAGAACTGTCCTTTTTCAGCCATTACTTTTGTGCCCTGCAGGTCTTGGCTTTTCAAAGCTTATTTCTTGGCTAAGGATAGCGGAAGCCTACATATGGCCATTGACAATACGTGTGGAAACTACATTTGATGACGCTTTTTTAGCTTTCTGCCTTTTTCTTTTCATTCAATGGAGGGGGAACATGAAAGAATCCAGAAAAGGGATATTTTTATGTTTATTGGAAAACGTTAAACTCCCTAGAATAAAATTTCCTGCCAATATGTTCAAGTTAAGGCCTTCAAAACCATTTCTGCGCATGAAAACACAGAAATCCCTTTTTATTTTCAAGCTCAAGTCAGACAAGACCCATGCAAGTCCAAAGCCTTGAGAAAAGGACCGATAGACACTATAAAACATGTTCAACCTGCTCACTGTGTGTTACTGTTGCATCTTACAGCTGCTCTCTTGTGCCTGATGTGATTAAAGGAGGTGAAGAAGTGCTAGGACTTCTGGAGGTATGACAGTGTGTGTGTGCAGAGAGGGTTCAGAGGTAAGGGAGCCTACCTATCTATCTACCAAATGTAGAACTGAGGAGCTCAGATCAACAACACGTAGCTTCTGTTCTCAGCTCAAAATGGCAAAGGGGACACTGTTTCCACTACGGATTCCTTCCTCTCTCTGTCATCAGGGTACAAGTTGTCAGGGGATGCACGTGGATGGTGCCCCCCCCCCCCCCCGCCCCCGTGGGAAAAATTACAAAGACCATCCCTTTTGAAAACATACCATCCCCCTCACCATTCCCCCTAAAATTGTTCTGTGTAGTTTCACTCACGTGACGGAAAACCTCCAGACTATATTAGGGTCACTGCACCAGCAAACTCAATTTAATCACAGTTTAATCAGGGTCACGCAAACCATATTCATCAAATCGCTTGGCAAATTATGTCATGGGGTACTCCATCCCTACCCCATTCTGGCAAATTTTATAGCACCTCCCACAAAGATTTTACCCCCCCCCACCCCCTTCGAATATTTTTTAAAAGTCAACAACTGGCTGTCAGATACTTTTATCCAAAATAACACATTTTTCAACCATTTGTTGGAGCAACTGAGGGTTAATGACCCAACAATGAGATCACTCTGCCTATGCTGGGATTTGAACCAGTGACTTTCAGGTCACAGGTACAGAACCCCAGCCCACTGCTCCAAACACTGTTCCCCCCCCATGTGCATTGTGATGGTGAGACTCCTGGTGCCCTCAACATGCCGTGTCATTTCCCACAGGCAAAATCAGCTCAAGTGTCTCCTCCGACGTGAGCTCAGGAGGTACGGACCACACGCCTGAAAAGACCCCCAAGGACGCCTGCACTGAAGAAGGTAGGCGTCTGCTCTTCATACAGTGGCTATCTTTGGACAAATTTGTATATTTTGTGATTTCTTGACTCTGTTCTTGGTTACAAAAAGTCCCGAGGAACATCGGAATTTTCCATTTGTGGTATTTCACAGGATTCACTGTATAGAGAATGGTAAGTTTCCTATTTATTTATATGTCACGTGGCAACATTTTGACAAATGTAATACATGGTTTAACTGCCACTACTCTGCGCATTTTTATAGTAGCTAAATTCAGATTACATGTGATTAACACATTTACTGTGCAATTTTAAACATTAAACTTGTTAACTGGAACAACCTAAAAGTACGTTACATTTATTTTGCAGATTCTTTTATCTAATCAGACACACATTTTCGAAAGATTCAGACAGTCTCTGGAGCAATTGGGCTTTAAGGGCCTTGCTCAAGGAGCCAACATTGAAACGTGTCAAGAGTGAGATATGAACTAGCAACTGTCCAAGCAAAGGTGGAGGGCTCAAACTCACTAAGCTACACACCACTCCTTCGAGTATATGCCACTACTACGTTTATCCATTTTTGTAATAGATAATGATTACATGTGATTAACACATATTTTATGTAAGTCTTTGCCTTTACCTTGTTTGGGACACCCTAAAAGTGCCAGTTATGCTTAAAATATTTAAAACAGGTGACGGATGACTGCATTAATGTCACCAACTTATCGACTGGCTTTCAGTTAACAACAGTTACAGTAGTTACTGGTTTTTTATGATATTTACCATATTTGGCATTCTTAAGGAATGTGGTATTTAAATGCCTTTTTAAACTTGTAAACCTTTGGTTGTACATCCAACTGTATAACCCCAGTGAAGAAAACCCACCCTGAGTGATTGCAGTTTGCAGTATGTAAACAGTAGACTGAACATGTTCCAGAATTTAAGAGAACAATACTGAGCTTGTATTCATTCCATAATTTTACAAGCTATAAAGAAATTTATTAGAGAATATTAGCTAAACGTAAATTAGTTTGGAACAAAAAAAATATTTTTTTAAGAGAGCAGATGGAGGAATGTCCTACTCATGAATGTAATGGAAGTCTGGTCACATTTACTCTGTCAGCTGTTGTGGAGTGAACTTCTATAGCAGGGTTATTCAACTCACGGTCCTCGAGGTCCGAGCACTGCTGGTTTTCCAGCCTTCCTTTACCTGTCAGTCAGGTGTGAAGCCTCTGACCAATCAGAATCAGTAATTATTAAACAACTACCTGGGAGAACAGAAAACATGGCCTGGATTTGGAATCGAGGTCCAGAGTTGAAGAACCCTGTTCTATAGGGAAGATGTGGACAGAGAGAGAGAGACAGACAGACAGACAGACAGATTGTGTAGTCTGGGAAAACTTTTCTGCGCAAGATTTTCTGCGCAATGCTATACTGTCATCATTAAGAGAGAGGCAGGTTTCCATAAAGGGTCGTATGCAGAAGCAATGCTTTATTTGCCATTTGCACAAGTACATTGGAATGCTTTTTTTCAAATGTCCCATTTTGCTCTCCTTTTGAGACACACAAACACGCACACATGCACACACATGAAGTTGAGGGTTGAGCTTGGGATCTGAGAGCACAGTCAGCATTTCAGAGGGTTAAGGGCCTTTCTCAATGGCCAAACACAGATGCGACTATTCTGTGCGGGACGGGATTTAAGCTGGCAACCTACTGTTCCACACAGAGGCCTAACCCACAGAATCACAAACCGCCCCCGTAGTTTGCTATATTATAATATTGTTTTCACCACTGTTTACTCAAACACGTTTGCTGGTGGGCTTGCTATGTTTGTAAATATTGTATATACAAGAATACGCATTTTTACTTGACAAATCTATTGTAGGAATATTACAAGATAGGATTGGTGGGTGCGGATGTCTTAGGGTGGGGCAAACTCATATGAGGAGTGCAGTCATTGGATCAGTTGTTCTTTTGCCCTAGTCATTATATAGGATCAAGATTCATTTACTGTTCCTGGCAGCTGATAATTGTACCTTTAAACCACAAAACCAGCAATGCCTTGTTGCATTGCTGTCACTGCATGAAGTTTAACAGATTCTCTGCAATTCATGCAATTCTAGCCATGGAGAGCAACAATCACACCGTCTCAGAATATCATCAAGGCGGATGGAATCATCTAACACCTACGATGATACAACTCATCCAGGGTTTAAGGGATTTGCAGGACTACCAATTATAAGGCTAAAGGTCCACATCACAATTAATTGCTCGCTGATGTCATTACCATATGCTCATATGTTTTTTTAAAGCAGTGGTTGCACGCTGTGCCTGCATCTGAAGACTTAACGGGATCACCTCATTTAAATGAGGCCCGACTGTCTTTGGTTATGCAGCTTCTGGGATTAAACACTCTGTAGTGCTGTCATTATGGGAACTGCCTTTCACAGGTGATAAACACAGCTAATAATAGACTTCTTGATGTGGCCCTATTACTGTAAATTGATTTGCATGTTATCGGAACTGGCAGACAATGAAAAGTGTTATTTTAAGTCATTGTAAACGGGACAGCCTCACGCCACAAAGGAGAGACAAAAACAGATGATTAATAATAGTTAAGGGGAAAAGTCTCTGCTGTAAACCTCAGGTTCACTAGGTGCTGTACTGAGCTGAGTTTGTGCTGCGGCCCCTAGGAGCCACCGAACACGGACCTGATAAGCTTGGTCCAAAGGGTATTGTATAAAGCTGCTGTTTTCACCAAAAAGCAGACATTGTCTCCACTACAGCTTCCTTCCTCCCTCTGTCCAGCGGGGAGAAGCTGCAGTCTGGGTGAGCCAAGCTGGGCACTTAGTGGGCGTGCTGAGAGCACTGCAGTCTGGGTGAGCCAAGCTGGGCACTTAGTGGGCGTGCTGAGAGCACTGCAGTCCATCTGAAGCAGAACTCTTAACAGCACACAGTCGAGGCTGCTGGACCTTTGTTGTCGGCACGGCTTGCTTGTTGGAGGCACCATGACAATAGACAGCTGACAATTAGGGCAAAAACAGACGGAGAATAAAAACAAGGCACAAGATACAAACCAGAGAGGCGTAAATGCGGGGCATGTGGTAAATACAGAGGTTTGTGCAAATTCACGCAGCACAATGCAGAAAGTTCACACAAGCACAATGCAGACAACATACGTATACATATAGTGCATAGCATGCAAGCCGTGCTAAGTGCAATTATAATATGCATGACAGACTGTCAGGGGTCTGTGCTGGTGCAAATGTAAATATTAAATTATCTCAAATGTTGTATGATTACATGCAGGAGGAGAGGTGCAGTTACATTGTAGAAGAGGACAGTGTGACTGCCTGCAATAGCCTAGGAGGGAGTTTGATATTAAAAATATGAAGGCAAAAGATCTATTTACGAATAGAAGCCAACTTAAATATTATGGGACACAAGTCCCCCCCCCAGCCCATCCCCACTATGTCCTATGTCCTGCACTGTCTGAATCTGAAAAAGGCTCATGGCAAGTGTGTATGAAGTGCTGACTTTGTGACTGGGGCTGCATCATTACACCCTGAAGGTCACTTCCTGTTTTCATTGTTTTATATTGTGGTTTTTCTCTGCGGAAACAGCGTTCACTGAGTGAGAAGCAATTTGGTTATATTTATCTAAAAAATTCAAGTGAGATAATGCCTTCTGTGTTGTTTTATGTGTGTTAATTGTGCACTGTAATTCCAAAACAAGAAATCTGGAATCGCTGCATCTGCAGTTCAGCTGCAAGCCCAGGCTACACATTTTAATAAAATGAGGATTACAAAGGACACAGCCAGTATAACTTTATGGATTTTTCCTTATGTGACACTTAGTGTCATAGTCAGCATCCCTATAATGGTACTGGACCTCTGGCCAGCTACACTAGATATAAATTGCAACTACATTAGCAGAAGACTAATCAGGACTTTTAGAATCGCTGCACCAGTAGCAGTAAGATGGTTATTGATCGTTCTGTCTCTCATTACCTGCAGGCTTTCAGACTAAATGAGAAAACCTGCGATGTGCATTTCTGTGAATATCTGTGAAGCTGCCCTGGCACCTCAAAACTGCTATAGTTTTTATATTTTTATGCTTTTAAATGTCAAAAAATCCAAAAAGGTTATCCTAAGGTAATGGCTTTCCCAGGGAAGAAAGCTAAGCTAAACACTAAATTAAGAGCTCAGTATAAGCTCTCCGGTCCAGCTGTCCAATCTTGCTGTGAATCGTGCCAAAGCACCAAAGAGCCACCACAGTCGGCCATCTTTGGATCTCCAGCCCTGAAATAGTCGTCGTATGTGGGATCAATCAAGCCCACAAGCCAGCTGTGCCATACACGTCGATACCTTCTGTGGCTTTGATCAGTGGAGGCTCTTTTGGTTGGCTGCTTTTCAGCTGAACAAAATTGAAAGGGGGGAAAAAAGAAAAGAATAGTCAGGATGGAGTTTATCAGCAAAGGGGTCTGATTAGTTTGGCTGGCTTAGCCCAGCTGGAAGTAATCGTTCGCTACCACTCCATCTCACAGTAGCATATGGTCCAGGCGTAATCCTTGACTGGAGATGGCTGAGCAGTCCAAAGCAGTCCATTTAGGTCTTCTGCTACTTAAGACCCACCAAAGAGGTTCACCGACCAAGGCATCGGCCTGTAAGAACTCAAATGTAGACCAATGCAGCCATATTCATTAACAGACTCACGAATAAGACACTGACATTAGTGTTAGCAGGCATCAAGGATTGAAGCATTAATTGTTTCCATGGTTACATGAAATATTCCAAAAGGTAGCCCTGAAGGATCAGGCATTTTTGTTTGTCATTCTGCAGGGGCATTACATAACATACAACGAAATTTAGTGGCTGCCTCCGTAATGACATAAATAACATACATACATGCATATAAATATACATACATAATCAAAATAGTCTTAAATAAATACTATACAAAATAGAGGATTCTGGGAAATATTTTCAATAAATATACTGCACATTTTATATTGTTGTCAAG